CTCGCGTCCTGATTCTATGGATACAGGCATTCCGTACAGCTTGCCGAGGTGCAGTCATCTGAACTCTGTTAAGAGCTGGGGGAGTAGTTTAATTGTTGGAGTGGCGGTCAATTGGCAATCAGCTACAAGCAACGTCGTCAATTTAACGATTGTACGCGAGTTGGGCAGAGTTAGGCCAACTCATCGTCAATTGACCACTACTCGCCATGGTGAGTGAGGTTATCGTAGATCCAAGCCCTCCCACTCCACCAAGACATTGACTTTGTACTACTACTCTATACTTCGGTCCCATACTAATACTCTGTAATAAGCCAGAGCTCAGACATGCCACGTCGGATCCTTCCTACATTGACCGGACTGCTTGCCACAATGGAGCACTCGGCCACATCGCCGTTGAACTGAACGATCGTGTTTCAAATACGACAAATACGGTAATTGTCTTATAAGGTCGTCACTGTAGTGATTGTCCGTGAGTTACGTTGAGTTAGGTCAACTCCTTGTCATTGCAGTTGATGACCACTCATTATAAGGAATGACGATATCGTACATTCAAACATGACTGTATCGAATGACGGATCACGCCAAACACTTCAGAAGATGATAGTGTACTGAAGATGAAGATAAAGATGATTGAACGGCATAGATATCTTCCTGTCAATGTATGCAGCTCGTAACCATTCTCAGGCAGGATAGAACAATACACAATACCATTAGAAGCTCACATTCCTGACATTACCAGGTTATCGAACTCCGACTTACAGCTAGGTGGCCGACCTTGTATGACATAAGTCATCAAGCTGACAGGGCGCAAGCCGAGCAAATACAGTAATGTTTGATGATGAGTGATTATGCTTGGTTCAACGATACGAGCTGCATAAACTCCCCAAGAAACAGAGAATGCTCGATCCAGGCTGTGCCTGGCAAGCTCAAAGCTGCGACTTTCGCTGTATCAGCACAATGTTCTAACCAATCGAGCCAAACCAACTTCGATGCTCAGTACAGTGTGTTCCAAGTGTTGCAACAAGAAACGTTGTGCTACCCGCATCACGATACCCACTTGTAATCGCAGGCTTTCTCGTGATGCTGACACACGGCTGTGGTCATGAGCACTAAAGACGCGTGGCTGAAGCCAGCTCATCACGTCAACGGTATGCGAAAAACAAAATTTTCACCGATCTCTTGAATACCGTCTCTGGTGGAAGACCACTGGGTTTACCGCCTTCCGACGAGCAATAATCAGAAAATGGAGACCACTCTGTGAGGCAGAATATAATCAAACCTCCCGATCAGAGACTGGAAAACTCGTGAGCGATGCTCGCTTTTTACAGCGGTAGTGTGACAGACCCAGGCTGATCCACTTCGCTCAGACCATTCCATCCCCGCACAATTACTATCATTCGATTAGTATCTCTAGTGGGCAAAGGCACTCCTGAACTGTTCTCCGCGGAAATCCACTTGACGCCCTAGTATGAAGTGATCACTGAGCTCAAATACAAATGTACAAACTCGCAAAAAGCTTTAACAGTGAAAAATGATTAGTTACGAGAATAAATATCAACGGCCTTGCGCAGTGTTCCAAGGGAAGGACGGAATGGAGCTTTACCCCTATCTGTCCGTAGTCGTGGATTGGACTTCCGCTGTCCACCTTTCAACGTCTTCGAATTGACCAGTGATGATCCAATTGCTGATTCCGGAGCGTTAAAGAAGTCCTCGTCGGTACAAGGAGCCCCATAAGCTGCTCCTGAGTAGCTCACCAACGTCCCGATCTTCGATACGCTCGCGGAAACCTAGCCACAGAAGTGCGAATAAGAAGAGAATCGTCTCACTGAAATTCCATCATGGAGAACCACCATCGGACATAATGATATCTTTTCCGCGAATGATACTTCGTACCTGTTTGAGCGTTGTTGTAGTTGACTTCAAGTTCCTATTAGATGCAGCAAGTTTCCGCTGCAGTTCCCCCGATCGGCGCTTCTCTTCCCGGAGCTCCGCATGCAATCGCTCCAGCTCGTTGCGCAAGAATGCGTTAGCGTGTCTTAGATCCGAGATGGTCAAATCCCGAGCGGAAATCTGGCGGCAGGAATCAATAAACGCGAGCTGTTCCACGGACTCAATATAGCCACCTGGGCTTCAGCATCTGTCAGTTCCCTCTGCAGGCAGTACACATTGGTAGTGCTCATGCCAGCCATCGAGCGCCCTTGGTGAACTCTGCCTGCTTGTCTACGGCGACCTCTAGGCCAGTCGCCACACGTAGCCTCAGACCATGCTGCTGCAGACCCAATTCGTGTGACCTGCAAGATTCACAGAGTATACCATCATTGGAGTCACGCTAGGTGCTGAATCGATTCGCCAATGACGAGCTAGCGAAGCGAAGCAAATATGTCTGTACAAAAGACTCGAGTCGTCATCACACCTCGGTTGATATCAGCTCGACATCGCGTGCCAGCTTCGATAAGATATCCACATCATTGGTCAACTTCTGTGTGAGTTTACCCGACGTCCCGCTCTCGAACGGTGG